CATGTGAATCAGTTCTGGTCTTTCCATGCCTAGAAGCGTATAGAAATCTTGATCGCCTAAATGACCCTATAACAAAAGAGATAAGATATTAGTTTTGTTACATTGATTGATATGATCAATATGAGCAACAACATATTAAGTATATCCTATAATCTACTTTTAATTTTTAACTTATAATTTTATACAAGGTGTCTCAAAAATAGGATAGGTGCCGCATTGGGGGCGTAGAAGGGGTCAAGGGAAACAAAAAAGTCCATTTATACCATCAAGTTATATCATTTTGAGAAGTTCACTGTAGTTTTCGAATTAAAAAAGGAAACATATAAACCAATGTGCGGTGAAGCCGCGCCGCGCGAATTCGTAGTACGGCCCATGGTGCCTCACTCGACAGCGGCGGCGCGCAGCAAGGGGAAGGATAGCGCTTCGCCGCCTGGCATGGCGGTCCTATGTGTTTCGTCACATCGCGCTTACACTATCCAAGAATGTTATTTTAGTTGAAGTTTTCATTACACATTTCTTATCGTTATAAATCACGTTGTTTAGCACGATTAAATACATTTTAACACAATTAGGTTAAGCTGTGTAATTAATTAGAGCATTACGCAAAGCGTATGCTGATCGTCGCGATACCCCTTTCCGCTTGCTTTATTAAATGATGTTTCTATTTAATTACGCTTCGAGATACACTTCGTCGAGCTATCGCGTTGTTTTATGCTATATTTTGCCGGAATGTTATTTTTTGACGTGTTAATGTGTGTATACTTGAAATTACAATTTGTTTTTTGCTGTTTATAAGTTTAATCGTACAAACACACACACGCGCGCGCACATACACGCACATTATACATATATATATTTTTCTTTAAGTGTTTTTCTCTAAATTTAATTTTGTAATGAAAAATTGAGATACGTTTTTTTAAATATTAAGTATCAAATACTGTTAAGTAATGAGTAAAATCGTTTTAAGTTACACTCAACTCCATTTCTATAAAAATTTAACTTGGGTTTTAACTTAATTGCAAACATAATTATACAAAGAATTTAGAAGTTATAATAAGTAAAATAACCCTCTATGACTTTTATGTTAAGAAAAAAATCGACTCAAAATTATCTACGCAATTAAAATATACTTTATAAAACGTCCCTATATATTACACATGCTGTTATATAATTAAAAAATACATAATATAGTTTTTGTTTCATAACAATAGGTCTACATACCTTTATATACACACACATTCTATAGTCTTTGTTTACCCTAATAGCAAAATGCTAGCAGTTTGTGAACAAACTGGCACCAAACTTGATCAGATTCTTAGTATAAAAAATAAAAACCATAACCATATGTGTTTGCATTTGGCTATTGATCTGTCAATAGATCCTGCTGACATGTTATGCCAGCAGATTAATGGCAAAAAACAAACAGAATTTGCACACATCGGGAATCTAATGACAAACTAGCAGCGGAAACCAAACAGGAACTGCAAAATCTTGTTGTTTCTGTCATTAATCTGCTGGTAAAACAGCAGCCTTTGTCCTATTTCTGACAGCAGTTCGCTGTCAGATAGTGCAAACTGTATGTAGAATTTGTTAATTTTCTGCAATCAAAAATTGATAGCATGCTGTGTTCAAAGTCTGTCTTCGCAAGCTTTGCTATCTAGATTATCACAATCATATTTTTTTTTCTCTGGATCATATCTTAATCAGATATGATCTAGAGAATCTATATCATGTTTTAACCCGGTATGAGATAGGTGGTAAAGTACCTAAAAGTACCTAAATCTAAAAGTACTTCATAAGACACGACGGAACTACCACTAAATAAAAACTACAAATAAAATATTCAGAATTATGATAATAAGAAAATTATGTTTATTAAAATTTTAATCAAATCAGTAATAATTTTAAACGTTAAAGAGATCAATGTGTCGGGTGTGACATACCTGACCTAGCTCACGCCGGGTTAACATACAACGTATGATATTTCAAATGTTTATTTAATTTACATTTTACAAATTATACTATTTTACGTTTATAGTTTTTAGTAGGTTGTGACATTGTCCAATCTTACCTTGAAGTGATATTTCTTCGTCATATCATCCACACTGTCTTTATTGATAATCTCATTATATACACGTGACTTCCGTAATCTTTCCAAATTAAAGAGCACCATCCCACTATTATAACCAGGATATCCGCCTTTATGTCGGGGTTCTCCAAACATTGTCATTGGATGTTTATTACGATATAAATACAAAACATGTCGGTAAACTGGCGTGAGCTCTGGAGCCAAACCAAACAAAGCTTCTTTTCCAAACTTGTTAAATTCTTCGAACAAGTCCTTTACATCTCTACGAAATTTGGTATCTGCATCAAACATTATGGCAAGTTTCTGATGATTGGGTGCAATTCTGTGCAAACCGAGCGAAATAAAGAACAATGCATCAGAGTAATATGTTCCTGGTTTGCTACTAAAATGTGGCGACATAACTGATACAATATCCTCCAATTTTGCAGCTAATTTGTGTACATTGTAATAAAATACCTGAGAATAAATAAAGGTTTCAATATTTTAAGTATAAATTCCAAATAAATAAAAAGGAAGAACAAAGTGAAGGCAGTTATAAATAGTTTCTCTCAAATAAATTGTAATAACTTTATGTATACAATATTCTAAGACATAATGTCAATAAATAAATAAGTATATATGTATATAGTTAAAATTTTTTATATAACACAATATAACACACATATTTCCTTAATACTTTTTTGTATTCAGAATAATAAAAACAGTTTAATAGCAATGCTATATATGTAAGAGAACACATTTACTTTGATATTTTGATTCATTAAAAATAAGATACAACATACAAGGACATACTTTCATAAATTTTCCAGTGCTGATCATAACATTTTTTATAACATTTTCAGCTATGTTTTGACTGTTATCGTCGCTTATCACATGAAAAGTAATGTTTATGGAAGCAAATCTGAGCAAAGATTCTGTGAACGCTTGAAATTTCCGTCTCATGGGCGAATTTGAGGCAACTTTGGTAAAAATACACCATATGTTATAATAATTTGTCTGATTTCGTGGCAAAATGCGCGTTGTTGAAGACAAATAATTAACAGAATAAACAGTCACTGCTGAAGGAGCCGTAAGGTTTGCCAGGCTCGCATTTTTTGTTTGCAGATTGAATACAATCCAGCGTCCTCCATCAGACGTCTGATAACAATATAGGGCTACCAAGAGTAACGCGAGGATCGTCAACCTCAGCAGCACCTTGAGTAACAAGGGCATTTAATATATATCCTTTATTTTCATAACCTAAAAAAACAAACAAGTTTTTTCAACAAGATAAAAATACATTGTAAAAATAAAAATAGAATATCTTGGTCATGCGAGAGAGAGAGAGAGAGAGAGAGAGAGAG